AGAACCCGAGCGTTGCTCGTCTCGGTTTTTTGATGAAACTTGGCACAATGGTAGATTTGATGCCCAAACTGACTGTGATAAATATTAGAGGCATATGAAAAGTGGTTTAATTATAAAAATTAATTAAAGTTTGCATTTTAGCAGCGTGCGACATGCATAGCTTGCAATGCTTTTCTTTATCAGTAGCAGATTGGCCGAATGGCTATCGACTGATTTTTGCTCCGAGGTTCAATTCCCACTTCAGATTTAATATTTTTTATAATTTTTCTTTGATATTTGTAATTTCACGTGTAAATAATATCAACATTTATTTGAGTTTTCAATTAATTTTATATTTTCCACTATAATATTTATAAAGTCCTCCGTAACAAATGTAAATTTTTATTTTCTTCCATTTTGATCATTATTTGCTGTCTTTTTGTTTTTATGTAGCTTTTCCAAGTATGTCTGCTGTCTAAATGGAGACCAAGATATTTCACTATGTTCTGTTCCAGAATCTGAACGTTATTTAGATAAATTGGAGGGCACGTACCCTCTCTCAGGGTAAATATGTTATGAGCTGTTGTCGGAAAGCTTGATCAGCACTATGATTACTACTTAGAATCTCAATATCGTCAGCAAATGTAGTAAGTGTCAGATTTTCAAGTAATAGGAGGTCTTTGTGTATAACATTATAAGAAGGGACCCAAAATACTACCTTATAGAACTCCTGACATTATTTTGAGGAAATCAGATGTTACTTGATTTACTTTCACTTGAAAAATCCTATCTTAAAGATATGATTTTAAAATCCCATAATACCTGGGTGGAAGGTATGCTTTTATTTTATATAAAAGTTCTGGGTGCTAAACCTTATCAAATCTGTGGATTTGTTGTGTGGTCGAATGTTCACGCCTAAAGCCAAATTGATGATAGGGGAACCAATCTGGGGGAAACACGTTGTTGATTTGGTTTAAAAGGATCCTTTAGAGCAGTTTAGATATTGCGGGAAGCAAGGATATTGGTCTATATGAAGATACCTCAGTCAAGTTTTTGCCTTTTTTAGAAATCCTTAATATTTGGGCAGTCTTAAATAATTTTGGCCAATACTTGACTCTGACTATGGCATTAAATATATAAGTTATTAAAACAATCATTTTCTTACGAAGTTCTTTCAACACTCTTGCTGTTATTCTGTCAAAACCTAGCGATTTTCTTGTATTTAACCTCTGGATTTGCGAGTTGACTTCTTTGGGTTTGATAGGTATGAATGATTGAAGAAACTGTGGAGGTTTAAGCAATTCTTCTTCAATTTCTTTATCAATAGTGGAATCAAATAGTTTAAAAACATTATATAAATATTCAGCAAATAGATTTGCTTTGTCTTCATCACTCCTCGCCCAAGGATCATTTTCGCTGACTCTAATAGGTGTAGAAAAGAATTTAGGCTTCTTCAGATTACAAGCTGCTTTCCATATCGAGTTATCTGACCTGGATAGATTAATAACGTACTTTTCAAAATCTTCATTTCTGACTTGCCTAAGTTTGCTTTTAAGTTCTCTGCAAAGTTTATTTCATGTATTCTGTTGCCATTTAGCTCTAGCACGTCTTTTCTTCTGAATTAGTTCTTTGATTACCAACGTAATATCTTGTAATGGAGATGATGCTTGAGTTACAGGTGTGGCTTCTTGAGCTGAAGTCGTAATATGTTGAAGCAGATCATCAGTAGTTTGTCGGACACCGATGACCTCCCGCTCTTTTGCTCGTCGTGAACGTCTGTACGTTCTTTGGAGAATTCCTAGCACCATTTGCAGACGTGCTGGACGCTGATGCAAGCTTTTCCATAAACTTCTGTCTATGAATTTCGATAGGCGTAAGTTTCGTAGCGTTTAAAAATAGAATCACTCAACGGATTTTACACCTGGCGGTAAAGGTGGCGGGCTCCATCGCGGATGGCTGTTTGACAGGCACTAAACTTCGCAGTGATCTTCCAGGTAGTTGGAATGGAGTGTAAAGGATCAACAATGGAAGTGGTGTTGCCGAATTTCTCCGGGTATCTCCCACGGCGAGTATACAGCTTTGGGAACCTTATTTTTTACTTGCCCCTCGTAGTTATGAGGTTTATAAGTTTTAAGGGATAGAAATTATCTGTTAGATTTCATGTAATCAAATTTAAATTGTTGCCCAAAATGTTTTCTCCGATAGAAGTATTGCGTGGTACCTATACTATAGTACCTATTTTCATTTATGATAAGAAATATAATTGAGGTACCGGCCAGTGTTAGTTTGATTTAGGTACAAATTTGTTATTAATTTATTATCTGCAGTACGTATGAATTTTATGTCTAAGAAACTTATCGAGTTCATTGGCTCTAATTCAACTATAAATTTTAATTTTTTATTGATCTTATTAAATTGATCAATTATCATAGTGAACAATTATGTTTTACAAATACAATAAACATATTTTTTACTATCGTTATGTAGATGACATTATCACTTGTATCCCTAGTACTGATGTCACTATGATAATTGATCAATTTCTCACAAGACCATGAAAATATCGCGCTAAGAATTCGCAATTCGTTCCACACATATTAGTCTAAGAGCCAGTGAACTATTTGACTAACCTGTTTTCTCAAAGCTAGATTTTTTTTAATGATATTTTATTATCGGTACATTAAGAAAGTGCCGATCTGGCAAGCATCTCGCGATTGCGTCATCATCCCTCGAGTTTTTGAAAATGTCAAAAACAAATTTTTTAACTTGCTTTCACAAGGCTCAAATTCTGCACAAGCAAAATTCTTTTAACTGTTCAGAAAGCATATGTAAAATGACAGACCATTCTGACGATTGCAAGGGTCTGCCAGACGAGTACATAATAGTCACGACGCGCAAGGGTGTGGGCGCATTGCCATACATAATCGACTAATACCCTTGTATTTGAATAATTTATACGCCGTTTTGAAAGTCATTTTGAAAACATCCGATATACCAAGCTTCAACTTTGTATCTCACCTTATGGCCGAGATATCATTGAAAATATGCCAAAGTGCCCCCTTTTTCAAACTCGATTTTTCGCGTAACCATAAATAATATTGGCTTAGACCACATAATGTATAGTAATATAATAGGTTGTCAAATATCTCCCTTTCGCCTTTTTGTATTATAAACCAAGAGCAAAAAAGCGGAAGGAAGATATTTGACAACCTAATATGCTAAATAATCCTTTATTATTAGCTAAAAAGGATAATATAATTTTTGAATTAATGTTTTCGGATAGCGCGTTTTGTTTAATAACTTTCTTATTAGCGTTATTCGAAAGCCTATTGTTTTTTCTTTTAGCATTGCGAATATTGTTCAAATCAAATTTGTGGAACACATTTAAAAATTGACGAAACCAGAGTTTGTATACCCGCGAGTAACGCATGGCGCACTGCTTTCCGACCGAACGAATTCTACTATTAGCGTTACGCGGGGGTGTACTGATTCTGGTTTGTTCAATTTTTCAATGTGTTCCACAAATTTGATTTGAACAATTTTTCATTATATCTCAAAAAGAATAAAAGATACGTATAAAAGCATATAGATAAAAATCAAAGGAATCTTTCTGGCTTATTATTGTTTTTTATTATTTTTCTTTCACACAAAAATTGACAGAGTTATGAATGTTTAAAAATAAAAGACAGCGCGGCCGCGCAAATTGAAAAAAAAAGTTTTTATAAAATTTAAATTTGTTATGAAATTATGAAGTTGAAGATTGGTATATCGGATTTTTTCGAGAAGATTTAAATACCTGAGTTGGGCCAATTGTGTATGGCAATGCGCTCATACTCTTTGCGCGTCGTGACTGTGATAAAATATGTATTAACACAAATTTTTCATAAATATAAAATTTTTCATAAATATAAATATAAAAAAATGTTTTAATTTAATTCAATATTATAATAATATGAAAAATAAATATCATAAATATAAAAAATGAAATGAAAAAATAAATATAAAAAAATAATGAATTAAATCAGGCGAGCCACCCGGCTTTAATACGCTCAAATGTATCACCCGACTCCAATTTATATGACTTTAACCGCATTCATTGACTAACAATATCATCCGACTTCATATGACCCAAACCGAATTATTCCGACTTCAAGCCGATATAACTTCATCCGAGTTCATATGACTCAAACCGAATCATTCCGACTTCAAGTCGATATGAATTCATCCGAGTTCCTATGACTCAAACCGAATCATTCCGACTTCAAGTCGATATGAATTCATCCGAGTTCCTATTACTCAAACCGAATCATTAAGACTTCAAGTCGATATGAATTCATCCGAGTTCCTATGACTCAAACCGAATCATTCCGACTTCAAGTCGATATGAATTCATCCGAGTTCATATCGAGACTTATCGAGAAGCAGTGCGTATGGATCTTGAGTGTTTGTTTATTTTTGACTAAGCGCTGAGAGCAAATTTGTTCATGAAATATCAAAAACTCATTTAGATAATAAATACGCGATTTAGATTTTAAATATTATCAAAATAAACTACACAACGAGTTCCATTATTTATTATTTAGATATTTATTTATTATATTCTAGATATTATTTCTTGTCTTAAATTATAATTGTTCATATATGAACTTGATTCGAATCACTCGAACTTTCACTAGTTCTAGCTGTTTACATATACATACTTTTTTTAACAGTTAAAAGAATACACCCTCAACATTTGAGCCATTTTGGAGCAAGTTATAAAAACTTTTTGATATTTTAAAAAATTGAAGATATGACGACGCAATTGAGAGATGCCTGCCAGAATAGTACTTTCTTAATGGACCGATGATAAAATACCATTAAAAAAATGACTAGCTCTGTGAAAACAGGTTAGTCGAATAGTTCTCTGGCTCTCCTACTAATATCAGTCAGAGAGGCATAAGTGCATTTCCTTCGCTATACAAGAAAAGAAACTTATTGTATACTGCTTCTTGCCCTTAACCATCCTTATACAAACTTACCCTGCAGATGATGTTCGCGGTCGGTGTTCTTTAACGCCCATTATCCAACCTACATGGTGTTCCACAGGAGGATTATTCATGTGACGCGTTTTGCGTTTGCGTGGTGTGCGGGGATCAATCAGTTCGTCTTTGTTAACGGCGTAGAACCGTGGTGCTCGCCTGAGAGACGCTTGAAGTTTGTTCTTACTGTTATGTTCCGCCTTAAAAAACAAATTTAAAATATTAATACATAACAATTACTAATAAACATAATATGTAATGAAATACCTAAGTGCATTGAATGCACATATTTCGCACCCATATTCTTGGCATTTAACTATTTAGAGCAAATTTTGGTGGTTTTATTTTTTCTACAGTATTCAATTCTGCATTTCTTATGGAAACAAATATCTGTATTAGACTTAGGCAATAATTTTTTCGTGTTTGTTAGTTTTATTTCGCGGGTTTCCCAAAAATTGGTGCTTAGTTCTATTTCTTCAGTAAAAGTACAAATTCGAGACATTTGTGCCACCTGAAACAAGGATATTGAAAAAGAACTGGGCACTGCAACATTCTGAATTTGTAGCAAATTTTCTCCCCTTGTGACCCTCTACGCCTACATTGTAATATATAAAGTTTTCTGATAAATTATTAATATTGATAGAGTACAGATCTATTAACTATAATAAAGTAACAATTAACTATAAAAATAGTTCCATATCATCTTTCATTTGCTTCGTTTTAATTGTAATCAATTTTTATTTGACCTAATAATTTCAATTTACACAACAGGTTGGGTAGAAATACCGCCAGCTTTGTAAAAATTTTAACAATTTTCTATAAACTTCAACATTTTTTTGGTGCAAAGCTACTTTAAAAAAAAATCAGTTTTTCAAATTGAAAAAATGTTTTCAACTATTTTTTTATTGGATGCTTTGTGTCCTGTCTATCTATCTTTGTCTACCTATTTTGATTGAACTATGTACTTTTATTAATGATATTTGTTGATATAAAGCAGAATAAAAGCTTATAAAATAAACGAATACTTCCTGGGTCAAATGGACCGGCGTGTTAAATATCGGTATACATTAAGCATTTAAACAAACTCAAAATCTCAAACTCAAAATCTCAAACTCAACAACGAAAAAAATAAAACTTTAACACTAAATTGATTAGTACAAGAAGTTTCGATCGTCACATTTTCAAAAACAAAATTACTTATGCTTTTTCAATTCAAAGTTAACTAGCTGTAAGTGGAATTCTGTCTTGAGGCAATTATGGCATCGTGCCTTAAGGCAAATTGCTGGAACTTCCCGTACCGTAACGAAATGTTCGAGGAATACTGAATGTTTTCAAATAAATTATTATAAATATTGTAACATTGTCTAATATTTATAAGTATTATATAAACTGAATTGCAAAGTTGAAATTATTTGTTTGAAGTATATTAGAACTATAGTCAGAATTAAAAATAAAATCTGAATTATTTTCGATATACAAAAAATTAAAAAAAGAAAAAAAAAATTAAACAACAAATTTTTTTCCAAAATTAATTATTTTGTTAAGACAAGCAGAAAGTTCTTTGAATCATTCAAATCGGACGCTTAGTTCTCTCAAAAACTGCCATTTTTTACATGTTTAGCTCCGTATCTTCGAAATGGCTGGGCCTACCTTTGCCAAAAACTAATAAACACTTCTCCCAATCATTACTAATTGAATGTTTTTTAGATCATTCAAATCGGATACTCCATTCTCTCAAAAAGTCGATTTCTATTTTCTGCACTCTTTGCTCCGTATCCCCGAAACGGCTAGACCTGCCTTTGCCAAAAACTAATCAGCTCTTTTCCCTATCGATAGGAATCGAATGTTTTTTGAACCATTCAAATCGGTTGATCCGTGCGCCCGAAAACGTGACTGGAAATTTGTATCCATACATACATACATACATACATACACACACACACACACACATTTATATCATTCTAGATCCTCCCCCCACGAAGTAATGCCTAACGGCGGTTTCCGTGGGGACCAGAGGCAAGGGCAAAGCGGAGGTTTTAGTCGGTATTATACCAGGGCGGTATCGAGTCCGACATACCCAAGCAGAAGACCGGTCTGGGATGCGTAAAAGCATTTCCTTCGCTATACAAAAAAAAAAAACACACACACATCCATTTTTTCTGAGGTATGCCAAAACGTTCAGAAACCTTCAAAACGTCGAGAAATGTAAAAATTTTCAATTCCGATTTTCGCCCCATTACAATAACACCCTACGGGAAGTTAAAAAAAGTTCGCTTTTGGTATGGTTAGTGTTAAACTTGAACTCAATTCAGCAAAGAATAGTGTGACAGAAATGGGTTATTTTCAATCGGATACATATTTAACTTCCCATAGGGCAATTTATTGTAATCGTCCAAAAATCAAAATTGAAATTTTTTACATTTCTTCACGTTTTGAAGATTTCATTTTTTTTTTCAAAATTTTTTTTTGTATATCGAAAATAATTCAGATTTTAATTGTAATTCTGACTGAAGTTCTAATGCACTATGCACTTCAGTTTATATAATTCTTATAAATATTAGACAATGTTACAGTATTTAAAATCATCTATATGAAAATATTTAATATTTCTCAAACATATTTTGTTACGGTACGGGAAGTTCCAGCAATTTGTCTTAAGGCGCGATGCCATACACACCACTAGTTTTGATCTATATTTTCAATTCAAAATTGATATCACTATTGCATGATATCAGGCTATCCAAAACGGCGGTTCGAACTCACGACCCTCTCCAAATAAGGCAGTTCGTTTTACCGTTATTCTATGAAACAACCATGATAATATATTAACATATATAATATTAACACACATTCGTCGGATGGCGTATCGCAGCGGTTTCCAACTTGAGAGGCGCGCCCCCTAGCCAGGTTGTACTAAGGGGAGCGCGATCATCTGTTTCCAGAATACTATTTTTAAAAATAAATAAAAGAATACTATTTTTAATAATAACGTTTAAAAACATTTGAAACGATATTAAAAAATAAAAAACAAAAAACAATTAATTTTTATGCATATTAACTTTCCGTAGGGTAACTATTGTAATGGGCCGAAAATCTAAATTGAAAATTTTTATATTTCTCGACGTTTTGAAGGTTTCTGAACATTTTGGCATACCTCAGAAAAATGGAAGTGTGTGTGTGTATGTATGTATGTATACAAATTTCTAGTCACGTTTTCGGGCGCACGGATCAACCGATTTGAATGGTTCAAAAAACATTCGATTCCTATTGATAGGGAGATGTGCTGATTAGTTTTTGGCAAAGGCAAGTCCAGCAGTTACGGAGATAAAGAGTAAAGAGTACAGAAAATAGAATCGAGTTTTTGAGAGAACGGAGCATCCGATTTGATTAATCTAAAAAACATTCAATTAGTAATGAGATTTGTAATGATTGGGAGAAGTGGTTATTAGTTTTTGGCAAAGGTAGGCCCATCCATTTCAAAGATACAGAGCTAAATGTGAAAAAGTGGCAATTTTGGAGGGAACTAAGCGTCCGATTTGAATAATTCAAAGAACTTTCTGCTTGTTTTAACAAAATAATTGATTTTTTCAAAAAAAATTGTCTCAACTTTTTTTTTCAAAAAAAATTTTTTTTGTATATCGAAAATAATTCAGATTTTATTTTTAATTCTGACTAATAAATATACTTTAAACAAATAATTTCAACTTTGCCATTCAGTTTATAAAATTCTTATAAATATTGCAATGTAACAATATTAATAATAATCTATTTGAAAACATTCAGTATTCCTCGAACACTTCGTTACGGACACGGTACGGGAAGTTCCGTAAGGCACGATGCCATACACCCCACTACTTTTTACATAATATCGCATATTAATTTGTAGTCTGATATCAGTTGTGTATTTATAAAATTCTATTATTGAAAAAATTAAGGGAGGCGCAACATTTTTTTTTATATAGAGCCGTAATATTTTAGTATGATCTAGCAGACCATGATATCAATCGCCAAAAAAAAATCATGAAAATCGCCAAAAAAAATTTTCAACAGTTAATTACAAGAACACGTCCCAGCGAGTCTTTACCAAAAACTAATCAGCACGATTCCCAACCAATATCTTTTGAACGGTTTTTGAATTTTTAAAATCGATTCAGAATTGCGGGATAAAAAGTGAACGAAAATTTTTCAGTTTTCTGATATTTACAAAGAAATGGCTCAGCCGATCGTAGCGCAAAACTGATAAACGCTAGTCCTCATCGAGATGCATTGAATGGATTTTAAATTTTTGAAATCGGTGCAGCTGTTTTTGAGAAAAAGTGAATTTACGGTAAAAGATCTTTTCGCGCACACACACATACACACAAACTTTCCAAATTTGGTCTCATTTGATTCAGAATGGCTTGAAACGTCGAGAAAATAATAAATTAGCGAATCGAATTTTTTTATGAAAACAAACTTTTCCTTCGGGAAGTTAATAAAAAAAACTTTTCCAAAAGCAATCGTTTCGTAGACACTAGCAGAGAGTCAAAAGTGAATCATTCAAATCGGATGCTTAGTTCTCTCAAAAAATGCCATTTTTGCACTTTAGCTTTGTATCTCCGAAACGGCTGGACCCGCTTTAATACTCCGTTCTCTCAAAAACTCGATTTCTATTTTATGCACTCTTTGTTCCGTATCTCAAAAACGGCAGTACCTGCCTTTGCCAAAAGCTAATCAGCTCCCTATGAATAGGAATCGAACCATTCAAATCGGTTCATCCATGCGCCCGAAAACATGCACGAAAAATTGTACCCTTATATACATACATAAACACAAATACAGTTTTTCTGAGGTATGCCAAAATGATCAGAAACCTCGAAACGTAAAAAAATGCAAAAATTTTCAATTTCGATTTTTGGACGATTATAAGAATTTAGTTAGTAGGCCTTTAATAATATTTTCATTTAATTATTTGGTAAAACAATATAAGAAATTGATTATGATAAAGTGATTTAGTAGATTTATATAAATACTTACAAATGTTGGAGGCGGAGGTGGAGGCACTTCTGGATTTTGAATGCGGCTTGTTTTAGGAATAAGTTTCTCAAAATCTTCTTGTGTAATAAGATTTACTGTTTTGTAACTGTTTGTCGATGAGCGATCCTGTGAAAATAGTCAACAAAATCAATTCAACAATATATACCATTGGTATCGATACTTCAGTTCGATATATTTGTCGGTATAGAGTCTATACCATGTTGCAGCAGATAAATATAAGCTTTTTCACAAGCTCAGAAAAATCTTGATCGAATTTCAATTAAAAACGTTTACAAAAAAAAGCGATAATAGTTAATTGATCCATTACTAAAATGACTATTATAAAATAATGAAAATTCTGAGTTGTATGTAGTTTTCCATTTCGCATTAACGTAACATAAGCGTCGTACACCCTATTATACAAATAAATTTCTATTTCTTTTTGGATAATATTGAAGCCTTTTCATAAACTCCAAAGTCTGAACTAAAATTAAGTCGAAAGATTTATTGACTGATATACATTATCAGTATTGCAATAATGTAATTGCAACAAAATTACAAAATTGAACTAGTTGGTATTGGTATTTAGCCTTGATGCAAGTTACACGAATTTGCCGATATGTGTTAACAATAGACGTAATCAATAATAAACAAATTAATTTATGAATGATTAGAAGTATTCCGAGAGGATTTATTACACATAATTGAAAACGAACGAACACGTTAACTCGGAGTATTTTCTAAAAGCAAATTTTCACAAATCAATAATTTTTATAATTGAACCAATTTTCGCAGAACGTTAATGGTTTAGTAGTATGTTCATTAAGGGGGGCGATACATGTAACAAGAAAAAAAAAATCGATTTCATAAATCGTTACAATAACATCTCAAAAATATGCCTGTAAATATTCAAAACAAAATTATCATTATTTATACAATAAAAACTCATTTAAGTGCCACGCCTCAACTCGACGCTTGAGTGCAATTGTACTCTTATCTGTTTCTGTGTCAAAACTTCAAACGCGTTTTTCTCAAAACGACATTTTTGAAATTTGCGGGCGGGATAACTCAAAAAGTTCTCAACAGATTTCAATGAAATTTTGCACACATCTACTTTACAGTAATAGCTTCTAGTTAAACCTCAAACATTCCAAAAAAATTTTAAAAAATTAACCCTTTTACCAAAAAAAACCATTGAAAAAAAGGTGAAAAATCAAACTTTTTTTTCTAAGGTGTGCCAATTTACGATTTTGTGACTTTTTTAATTTTTTTTGGTTTAACTAGAAGATATATGTTTTATGAACACGTACAAACTAATTTTTTTAAATTCAGATCACCGTACGAAAAGTGAGAACGCCCGCAAATTGATGGCGTTTTCCGAGAGGGTCTTGGCAGATTTATTTTTACGGCAGCCATTTAAAAAAAAAAAAAAAAAAATTTTTTTTTGTGTATTTTAATATATAATAAATAACCCTAAAAAAATTCAAAAAGATTCAATCATTCCTTCCCAGTTTAAAAAGTCCTCAAAAAATGGTAAAAATTACGGCGATTACATGTATCGCCCCCCTTAAGACTAAGTAATCTATCGTTATACCAAGTAAATCGTCTAATTTTAATTTTAACAAACGTCAACAAAACTACTCATTTTCTCAAACTTTGATGAATTTTTAAAATTAAATTACTAGTCGTAAGGCCGCAAAATTTCAGTAAGTTCTATAAGACCATGATATACATCGCCAAAGAAAGTTTCATAAAAATCGGCTTAATTTTTTTTCAACAGTTAATTACAAGAAAACGGCTCGGTAGGTTTTCACCTAAAACTAATCAGTATTATTCCCAACTAATATCTTTCGAACAGTTTTTGATTTTTTTAAATCGATTCGGTAAAATGAGCTTAAATGTGGACGAAAAGTTCAACACTCTTTTTCAAATTACAAAGAAACGGCTCGGCAAATCGTCTCACAAAACTGACAAACTATAGTGCTCCTTGAGATACATCGAATAGCTTTTAAATTTCTGAAATCGGTTCAGGCGTTTTTGAGCAAACGTCGATCAAAGGTCTAATTCTGACAAATGCCAAAATAACGATACTAATTTTTGCAAAATTTGATAAATTTTTAAAGCTAAACGAGTTGTCGTAGGGCGGTAATATTTTAGTATGATCTAGAAGATGGTATCTACCGTCAAAAAAATAATAAAAAAAATCGTCGTTTTTTTTAACTTTGAAACAAGAAAACGGCCCGGCCGATCTTTACCAAAAACTAATCAGCACGATTCCCAACCAATATCTTTCAAACGGTTTTTGAATTTTCAAAATCAATTAAGAATTGCGGGCTAAAACGTGGACGAAATTTTTGCACTTTTCTGCGATTTACAAAGAAACTCAGAAACGCTAGTCCTCTTTTAAATTTTTGAAATCGGTCTAGCCGTTTTTGAGAAAACGTCGATTTACGGCAAAAAATCTGTTCACACACGCGCACACACATCCTTTTTCCAAATTTGGTATCATTCGATTCAGAATGGCTTAAAACGTCGAGAAAACATAAAATTAGCGAATCGGATTTTTTGATGATAACATAAACTTCTCCTTCGGGAAGTTAAAAAAGAAAATATTTTACATAATTACGGGTGTATATTATAAGTGTTTATTAATATTAATACTAAATGAAAACAATATTTCGAAGAACTAATTTACTTGAAAACTAAAAAGAAATTTGGCACGGTTTTATTTATATAAGCTGATCAATATCAGCGTTTTTTTTTTTAAATTTGTTCTTTATTTTAATTTTTTTAATGCGGAAGGTAGCAACGCGTATGCAGCTTTGATATGTTTTACAGTTTTGATAAGTGATAATTTTTTATGAATTTTAAGGTTGAAATTAACACAGGCCCACAAAAAAAAGTTTCCTGGATTGGGCGTGTGGCTTATGTTTTCCAATGTACCTTTCATGAAGATAAATCTATAGTCAAAATTGGGATACAAAATATGGAAAAACATTTAAAAACTGACACAGTCTTCAATGTAAAATTTTTTCTGAATAAATGAATTAGCGACTTATCTTTTGTGGACCTGTGCAATTTTTCGCAAACATACGTACTTCCAAAAAAAGAATTTATCATAATTTGATTTGCCTTTTTTAAAGCGAAAATTTCCCAAGACTGACATGAGATTTATAAGAAATTCGATGTTTACTGAAATAATACATTTTTTTAAAATCTGTATTATTTTGCATGGTAAATGACGAAGAAAACATTTACATGAAAACAGCTGTCTATTGTTAGCTTTAAACATTTGGAATCACAATTAAAATTTGTTCACATTTTCTTTTTCTGAATATGAAAATTGAGATACAAGATACTGCAGAAGATATTATTCTTCACTACCAAAATTACGAAAGTACTACAATTGTTCTTTCACATCCAAAAACAATTGTAGTTTGCCATTTGGGTCGTATACTCATTTAAGCATTGCATCACTATTAGTGTCAAGTTGTCTTTAAATTCACGATGATTTAATCCCTGCGACTTTATAAGATTTACTTATTTAATTATTTTAAATTTAGAAACGCGTTGTTGCTATGTTTTCCGACAAATTCTCAATTTTTCTTGCAATATTGTTAAAGAAAAAGTTCTGCGAAAACCCGTTTTTACCAGTATTTGACTAATAACAAAATTAGTCTTTACAGCCGTATTTGACAAAATATCTAAAAAAATATTATGTAGTTGAAAAATGTAAGGCGGGCCGCAGAAATACATCAGCGGGGCGCGGGTTGCTCATCCTTGATCTATAGATTCTTTTCGTCGATATTTTGACCATAATTTTTCTGACGATATCGAGACGACAACTTGTAGTTATGCTACAATTTATAATAACGTATTATAAATGTTATGTGTAAGTCTTTGATATACTTGGATTCTGCAATTGCAAATTGATTTGATATTGCAACTGTTGAGTATAATTGTTTGAAATAATTATACTTCGATTCCTTCTCACATGAAATAATAAGGTACATATATTATAATTGTTCATTATTATTATTTGAAATCATTTTTGTTTGATACTTTTCACGTAAAATAATAATGTGTTGTTCCATACTAAATCCAAACGCCTGTCAATTAATTATTAACCAGTTGAAAGTAGCATTTAGCCTTAAGGCAAGTTGCATGAACTTCCCGAAATGTGTAACTATTGCCTTAATCAACTGAATTTGAGATTTAGATATTTTCAAATTTGAGATAAAATTTTCAAATATTTATTTCAAAAATAAAGTTATCGCTATCAAATAAATCTAAACATTCCTATTTACAATTGATATTTCTCAGGCATATTTATAATATCTGTAATTATATTGTATGTCCTAAAATTATGAGCTCATTATTATAAGTTTTAATGAATTGATAGTGTTTGACTCATCATATCACAAAAGCAACTTTTGACACAAATTTTGACTATAATATTTTTTCAAAGTTAGATGAATTTTTAAAATTAAACTACTTGCCGTAGAAACGTAAAATTTTAGTATGTTGTTCAGGACCATGATATCAATTGACATAAAAAGTTTCATCAAAAAAATTTTTAACAGTCAATTACGAAGAAACGGCTCGATCGATCTTAATCCAAAACTAACCTGCACGACTCGCAAATAATATCCTTCGAATAGTTTTTAAATTCTCAAAATCGGTTCAAAATTTTTGGCTAAAACGTTGACGAAAAGTTTTTCACTTTTCTGCTAATTTCAAAAAAAAAAACGGCTCAGCCGATTGTATCAAAAATCTTACCGACACAAGTGTTTATCAAGTTTCATTAAATGGTTATTAAATTTTTAAAATCGACTCAACCGTTTTTGAGAAAACGTCGATGAAAGGACAAACAAACACCAAAAAACGCGACCAATGTTAAACGAGTTGTCGTAGGGCCGTAATATTTTAGTATGATCTAGGAGACCATGATATCAAACGCCAAAAAAATTAATAAAAATCATCAAAATGGGTGTAAATCCGTACAAATGAAACGGAAATTGTTACGGCAAGGTCAAGTGAGAGTAATTCGCTCTCGATGATATGATTTCTATACGAGTCGATTCTGATTGGTCGTATTTGTGCAAGGTTTCTTGGTATGCGTGACT